GGACAGTTAATTTGTTGTACAGCCTACCAGCTTCAACCTAAAATGAATAAAATGCATACAGCCACTACATTGATTTATTAATTTTTTTTCCTCTTTCTCACTTCAGCATGAATAAAATGAGAGACTGCCATTCAAAAAGTAAACAAAACTGCAGTTCCTCAGCTGGTAGAAACTGTCAAAGACGTACTCAATGGAATGAATTAAGTGTTTTTATTTAAAAACAAAATATAGTGCTTATTTTCTTGAGAAGTTTATTTTGCCTTCTTTTCTACTTCAAAACAGACAGGTAACATCAATTTATACCAGCTGAGAATCTAGAACAAAGTATGAATTCTAGCATGACTGTGCACAGACACATTTCAAATACATAAGGTGTGTTACATAGGTTCAATATTAAACCAGTAGAGGGAGCCAATCAACAGCATTGTAAAGAGCTAGTGTGGAAACTGTTCCTACTAATCAACACACCACCGATTATTTACCTGAAACCTTTCTGAAGAAAGGTATGTCTGTGTACCTGTGGGAATTCTTGGAAAGCTCCCATGGTTTCCTGATTCCTGTCAGAAGAGCCTCCAATAACAAGCAAAGGCCTAGAAAAGCAGAAAAAAAAAAGTGTGGTGTGAGAGAAAGGACAAGAGCTGCCAGTATTCCAGTGATCTAAAAAGGACTAAGATATTGCTTATAAATGCTTATAAAGCATCCTATTAATAAATTGATTTATATCTATGTATAAACAGTGTTGGTTTACAATACAGGCTATATATTCCTTCAGCATACGCTTTTATTATGAGTTACACAAAACACATTAAATTATCCTCCCACAGTGAATGAAAACCAGTCTCTCATTTTGCAGGTTGAATTCAAATGCCATGAAATACTAAATGTCCCATCAGTAAGAGAAAGTCGGCTTATTTATACACAGTAAATTCAGTAGCTATCCAAGCTCTTTCTCTTAAAGCAATTTCTCCTTACATACCGCTTTTTCTTTGACTATATTTCTCTATACAGTATGTTATGCTGAAACACAGAGTGAACACAGAGTGAACTAAAACCATAATCCTTGGGAATATCTGGATATAAATCCAAGCTCTTTCTCTTAAAGCAATTTCTCCTTATATACCGCTTTTTCTTTGACTATAGCTCTCTATACAATATGTTATGCTGAAACATTAAGAGTGAACTAAAACCATAATCCTTGGGAATATCTGGATATAAATCCAAGCTTCCTAACCAGGCTACTTTTCCCCCACAAAATGGAAAACTCAATTTTAATCCTTTGACACACTGAGATTAGAACTTTAGTCCGTCTCATATTGTCAAATATTCTGCCAAATGAGGTCAGTGATTCCTTCACCTTTTGCCAAGAGTACAAGTTTACGTGAGATAAAGTCGGGTAAACAAAGATTATCTTAGATAAAAAGCTGTTTATGGTGAAAGGGAAATGTCCCCTGAAAATCAAAAAACAAGTGCTATGAATGTTTACTCTTCATAGCCAAATACATAACTGTTCAAAAGCAAAGTTTCTGCATAATCTATTTTATCTAAAGTCATGCAGAAAAAGCAAGACTTCAGCCAGCAACTTATTTTTTAAAAAAAGTCTGAACACCAAAAGTCTTCCCCAAAAGTCAGAAACTTCATCTCTTTGACGAGGGTTAAATAATGGAAGTCCTATCAGCTATCACTAACACTCCAAGTCATGTGCGCTTGATATTACCAGACCTCCCACCTCAAATACTTCACACAAACAGCTTTTAATGGCAGGCCAGCTGAAGTTGCTATGTGGCTCTGAAGCCTTGGGGGAGTAAACGCTATCACTCTGTGTCACCATTCATCTCAATGCCTAATTACTCCTCAAAATGCCTGTGTGGGGAATAAGAGCAGATTTTAACAATGCAGTTGTCAATTTGTTCACATGAAAAGGAGTAATTGAAAGGCACAGTAGATTTTTAAATTTAGATTAACTACCAAAACACTTCTAAAATCAATGAAATATTAGAGTCTGAGTAATGTGTTCATTTTAAATGTATGCACGCAATTAGTATTCTGATAATGCCTGACTGCATATATTGTAAAATATATGCATAATGTGGCAAGAGAGAGAGAATTCTATCCATAAGAATATAAAAGATTAAGTTAAATTACTTTTAGGGTACACTCATTACTTTCTCATTACTTACTAGAAAAAAAAATATCCCATTCTAAATACTGTAGAGGCCAATACCTGCATCAAATAACAGCAGACAATTATTAGACTTTTAAAGAGAGAACATAGTTAGATTACCAGCAGTTCAGGTTTGCATTTGCCATCCCACCAAGGGCATGTAAAAAACCTGGACCGGACACTACAAGACATACTCCTGGTCTAGAGACAAAAAACAGAAAGAAACAAAGAAAACAGAAAACAAGGAAAGTGAGCACATGGAACACCAAATAGTTCACCAACAAAGTGATAATAATACATCTTAACAAGATGTATAGTAAATATGAAAGTATCAAATATGAAATTTTTACTTGTCCTATCAAAGTGCATCAATTAAAAGGGATATGTATGAAGGACTAAAAGACAAAGTAATCATAAAGGATATTTAGCTATATTAATCCTACTGAAAAAGCAAGTGAGTAATTGGAGACCTCTATATGATTTTACAATATATGCAGGCTCATCCTGTTCAGCCTTGTGATCATACAGTCCCTTCTTTCTTTTATCACTCCATTATCTAATGTTTACAAGGAATTTGGTGGGCTACTTAAATTTTCATTTTGATTTTTTTTTAAATTTTACTTTTGCACTATTTATCCATGAGGATAAATGAGAAAAGCTCACAAGGAAATACATCTGATTCGATCCAAATTTTCTTTGTTATAATTTAATTCACGGGCAGAGGCACTTCTTATCCCAGATGATGAGATGAAAATTATCTTTACTGAACACTTCTCAGTAGGCTTACAGAATCTTTACATAGCATATCAGAAAAAAATCAGTTACAGAGGATTGTTCAGAGGAAGAAAAAAACAGAAAATTGTATTACTCAGTTGCAATACTAGAAGACAGAATAAGGAAGGATCGTTTGGATCATCTGGTCTGCATTTGTGAATAGGCAGACACCAAATGTTTGCTTTAAAAAAGGATTCATGAAATACCCAAGTGCATCCATAAATGATACGCCCCCCTAGTGCTACGCCACAGGAAGAGGTGAGACTGAAGACATGTTCTCAGTCTCTGTGTTAATGAGAACTTGCTGAATAACCCTAGATGATGAGATTAAGCAGGTCCACCCAGTTGCTACAAACTATATTAGCTTCATTTCTGCTCTTCGTAGCAGTGGTCTTAAAATACTATTCAGAAATTAAAAAGGAAAAAGAAAATAAGACTGACATTATTTTATGTATTTAAATACTGAGCTTCAGTTCCCCCTTATGTCTTGACTCATAAAACAGAAATACTGATTAACTGTGGTGACAATTAGTTTTAAAATAATATTTCATTTTAATTGCCCTACATCTGCACACGCACACACACAAAAAGAAGCACCAAAACAGAATAATGTTCCTGGTTTCCTGAAACATACCTGCCAGTCAAATATCCAACAGCAGAGGCTGCATAACATGCCTATGGAAAATAATATTAAGTTAATTATACAATTATCATTATATAATCCATTTCATGATACATTATATACAATTTTCAACAACAATACAGAAAATAAGCAGGCACAGATTTTCCCCTGGTCATCAGAGCTTGTATTGAAGTAGAAGCACACCTTCCCCTCCCCATTGTAATGTGGGTTTTGAAAGGGCAATAGGAAAAAATCCTAAAGTTCTTCTCCACAATTCAGGCTCCAATGTATTAGAACAAGTGTATTTATGATTTAAAAATAACAAAACCAGACACCTCTGCTTCTCAAAAAGGGAGGAAAAGCGCAATAAGTGAGGAGTAATTCTAGCGAGCACATACTGTTAGGTGATTTTATGTAAGATGTATTGACATAGCTTATGAACAGTGTGTTTCTGCACTATCGTTGTTGTAACTTGGTCCTGAACACCTACAAATATTAAATCAACGGTCATAGAGTAAAAACATTTGTAAATGTTCACACAGAAATGTCATCAAATTGTTATCTAATTCTTCAGTATCAGTGACATTTTTCATCTTCATATCAGAAATTTATGAGAAGTAAAAAGAGATTTTTCTGAATTGAATCTATATGTATTTTCAGTTCTATTATATTTCTAGCTTTGTTACAATCTCTTGTCTTTAATAAATTCTTGTATTTGACAAATGATGGTGTCTCAAGTTCAGTGCAACTAACTCCAGAATCTGAAAATATCCTGGATATCCTTCTAGTAGTCAATCACAGTTATTTGTTGAGATTTTAAAATCTCTGTTATGAAGAAAGAAAATGTAATTATTGAAATCATCCAGGACAAATTTATGAGCAGGAAATCCTTCCTCCTGGGAAACCCCAAGGACAGGGCAGACAGCACTTTTAAGATCACTCAGCAATAACCTCTGAGCATCTTCTGAGTTAAACATATATCTCAGCAAAAAGGAAAGAACCAGCTTTGTATGCAAGAAAGGCCTAAAAGTGGATTTAAATACTACTAATTAGAAACAGAATAACAACATTGCCTATTTGGGGGAAATAAAAAAGAAATGACAGCAGAAAAAAAAGTTTGAGAGATATTTGGGATAGATAGCTACAGATAGGAGAAATCCTGCATAAGCCTCCATAAAAAGTGACTTAACATGAGCCAGTATGTTACTCTGAAAAGACAGAACTGATTTCTTCCCCCATAGTGGAACGTTTTGTTCACATTCTTTTTCTCCCTATCTTCCTCCCATCTTCTCCCTTAAGGGAAAAGAGAAACAAAGGCATGTAAAAATGGAAAAATACCCACTGCCATTCTCTTTTATTCTGGAATTACCTCAAGTGTTTCTCTACAGCTTCTTCAAAATAATAACTGAAAATTACTGGCAAAGACTACATTCTTTCTAGTAAGAAAATGTAAATTGAACTTTTTTCTATTCTAAAACAGCAAAAGGAAAGGATGGCAGAGAAAAAAAGACATATACTTACAGCTTGTTCATTTCTCATTCCTATATATTTTATTCCAACTGCCTGGGCTGCAATTGCAATTTCAGTGATAGGAATGCCAACAATGCCAAACATGTATTCAATATTCTGAAAAGAAAATTGTCAAAATAAATTACAATAATGTCGAAAACACAACTTAAATAAAGAAACATGGAACATGGTGATGCCAACTACAAAAGCAATCTAAAAGTTTTAACAACCTATACACTCACATTACAGCAAAGCCTCAAACTTTGTTCAGTTACCTTTACACAGAAAATCAGCGTGAGAGCAGAGCGAAAGCACAACTTGCCCTGCAAGAATTTTACCCATATCAGCCCTACCTTGTCAGGCTGCTGTGGGAGGCTGTGTGACTTGAGACTTGCAGCCCCCAAGTCCAGAGCTCTCACAGCACCCAGCCCAGCTCCTCACGCTCATGTTGAGCCCCCTTTTGATGGGCCACCCCTTTCTCGCCAGGTCTCTGCTACTTCACCTTCTGCTTTCACAGCATCTCAGCAAAACTGAGATCTCAGGCTGGCTACTTCTGAAGACTATTATTAGTGTATCATGGTTCTTACAGTTTCACCACGCAAAATAAAATGTCCTAAGAAACAAACCCAAGGTATGATACCTTGCCCAGATATACGTTGGTAAGTGTTAAGCTATTTTTGTGTCACTGTTTTTTAGGTTTATTTATTTATTTATTTATTTATTTATTTATTGCGTGGGAAGGTTTAACAGCCGGGTCGGCGCTGCCCGATTTTGCAGACCACGTACAACTTCGGTGGGAGCTCGGCTGGAAGCGGCACCCGTGCGCGCCAAGCCCGCCCCAGGAGGGCAAAGGCGCTGGCGTTAACCGCCAGCAGCCGATCGGCACGCCGGGGTCTCAGCAACGCGCTCGGGGCCCGCAGGACGAGCGCCAGCCGAGGAGGCCAACGGGCGCTCCCGAAGCGCTCACGGC